GAACCGCAGGAGAAACAATGAAGGTGGAACTAAAATTAAAAGTTCCTGCGCACATTTCGAAATTTTTACAATACAATTTTATCATACATTCATACATATACTTCACGCCTTTTTGCCATCGGGGTAGGCTAAAAACAGTCTTCTAGTTGCTACGGTCCTGACATACATCTTTCGCCTCATCAACACTCATCAGTGCTTTCATACACGCTCATCGGTTAAGGGTCTTGACTTGGTCCTTCTTTAGGATGGCCTCAATTTGGTCATGGTAAGTTCGCCTTGGTCGGCCTTTACCAACTTTCCCGCTAACACTCGCCTTTTAAATCTGTTTCGTCAATTCCCTCTACATGTTCGAACAATCTAAGCATCCCTTTCTCTGTCTTTGTCACTACATCTTCTTCCACGCCGCAACGCTCTCTTATCGACCCTTGATGTCTCACCGTTAGGTTTAATAGGGTAGTTTTTTATCTTCACCTTATCGTAATTTCATGCACGGTAGGCGGTTGGTATTTGCTGCATACAACACCACACATTGTCAGACAAGCACTACCACCACATAAATACCTAACCGCTGTTCAACTTCCCCGGACAAGCTATTTCACAAACAAATTTTTTCTACTGCTAATCTTTTTTTAATTTGCATCATCTATTATTACCTCCGTTGCCAAGATACTTCGGAGGTTCGCTGATCGTTTACACATCGTGTCGTGTCGTCTAATGTGAAAACACCTGTTATCTGTCCTATACAAATCCATAGTTTAATAATGCCATTCATCTGCTACTCATCCGGTACCCGACATTTGATTTGTATGAATTTCAATGACGGACCAGTAATTATCAATTGTCGGAGTGAGCACAATAGCTTGGCGGTACTCCAAAAACAAATCATAATAAGAAAGAGAGGCATTCGAATAGGTATAAATGAAATGGCAGTACTTTGCGTAAGTTTGCAGTAACTTCGAAAACATAATTTTTTTGAGAACTTCGAATTAAAACTTGATCTCATTAAAAGTTCACTTGTGGTTAAAAACATTATCTTATCGAGTATATAACCAAAAAATAGAGACGAAATAAGGGCCATCAGTGGCAACTCATTAGGTAAATGACCACACTCATTAGGTAAATTATCATTTTTAAATATCAACTCTCATTTGCACTGAAATCACATATCAATTTATTGAAATAAAGATAATATCTCTAGCAATTGGGGCTGTTCCATACGGTGGGAAAAACAGCAAAACATCTAATAACAAAACAATCGGACTCACATTTCATCGGTAATTAAATATTAAATATGTAATTTTGCTATTTTCGTCCATTATAGCAAAGCTGAAGTTAAACTGGACGATTTGTTGTGAAACAATTTATTGACGACACCCGTCAATTGTTTCGAATTCGGGCTGGCCAATCGGAGCGCAGTTGTCACAGTAATGATTTGGCAGAATAGTTTTCAAACAAATTAAATGACTGTTCGTCTCTATTTCTGGTTATAAACTCGACGCATTATCATGAATTACATGTTTTTTAGAATCAAACTTTGTAAATCAAACAAATAATTGAAAACACATATTTTTTATATTAACTTAACACAAAAATTCACAATTATATGCATAATTCAGGTTGTTTTTTTCAAATGCTGTAGCATCCCGTGGAGAGCATCATCGCCACCCAATTGCTTCCGAGGCCTCTACCCCCCGGGACTATTAAGCGCCCATTGGGGGGTAGCGACCTCTATGATTTAGAGGCAGAATTAAAATAAGTAAAATAAAAATATTTATTTACTTGAACTTAGGCCTAGTTTCCCATTCAGGGTTCGAAACTCCTTTTAAGTAAATACATACTTGTGCTAGGAGTCTCGCTCTTCCACATTACAAATACAGGAATATCTAGTGTAATTGATTTTACTTAACAGTGATTTAACATTAGGTGTTTATAGTAAATGTATGTGTGTGTGTGTGTGTGTGTGTGTGTGTGTGTGTGTGTGAGATTATGATAGATAGGTATGACTATTAGTTAACAAAGTACAAAAGTATTCTTTTGGAGAACAGTCGATTCCACGGATTATGGTACATTAAAAAATGATTCAGCTTCGTCTTAGTCTAATAATTGTAACCATTTTATTATATATTGTTACCTTTTTTGATGATAATGGTGATATTGATGCAAAAGTATTTATCTGTTGGAACGGAACGACTATATCTTTTCTTCTTTTGTTCTTTTATTTAAAACTTTTTAGTCAAGTATTAATGACCTATGGAACCTACCGACCACGTGCAATATGTATAATTTCCTTATCGAAAGCACGGTGCTAAATCTATTAAGTTCTGATGTGGGAAATTTATACGTTTTAAAGTACCTACATCGCTTTAGAATTAGAAATACATTTGGTCTTTTAATAATCCTGCCATGAACCAATAACCCAAGAGAACTGCTAATTTCCATATACAAATAGTAGCTATGAAAAAGGTAAAAATTATATGGCTCTGTTAATAAAGCAGTTTATTAACACAAAAGTGTACTTTTTCAGAAGCGATTAAAAAAGGGATCACGCACTTTCCGTGAAAGAATAATATAATTTATGTATAATTTAAAATTGATTATAGACATCTCAACAATTTCCTACTTGCCTAATATATTCAAAAATATATTCCTGGACACGTAATTCGAGCCACCTCGCATTTTTGTCGTAAAGGGTTAGAATACAAAAATAGAGATATCATCGAAGAAAAACTTTTCCCCGGTTTTACAAATCCAAATTCCCAACAAGGACTTATGGAAAATAAGTTTAGTATACTAGTTTCAAATTTGTGTAATAGTTTTTGATCAATCAAACATTGTTTAAGCTTAAGGCATTTAATGCTGAAAATGCGTGGTGGCTCGAATTATGTGTCCGGAAGTGTAAAACGGAAAAATAATATTTTTGCGTGAGTCAAAGTCAAAGATTATTTATTCCATAGGTAAAATAAATTTACACTTGAAATCGTCACATTTAAGCTACTGCTCGTTCACTACGCTGACCTCCCTGAGAAGAACGAGCAAGAAACTCTAGGGATTGCTCTTTTCAAATAAACTTAAATGCTATGGAATACACTTTGAATCAAATTTGTGTGGATTCTGGAGCCATGCCGTCTTTCCATACATCTTTATCTAACACGTAGTCTTCAATTTTGTAATATGATTTTTCTGCTTTCGGCTTTTTATGTTCAAAATACATAAAATGTGTCTCTTTTTGAATTAAGCAGATATCTTTTAATTGTTTCTTACAAATATCTAACGATGATTTTATTAATATGCAGATAATCAAATTTTGCTTCGTCAGCAATCGTATCGCATTGCTATTACAATAGTGTTATAACTCGAAATATGTGAAATTCTAGATTGTAGAACGTAAAATTTTATTCTCTACACGTCAATAAAATCGTCGTTAGAATATTTTAGAAAACAACTAAAAGATCTACTTAACTACTTAACTCAAAATGGGACACGCTTTATGTGAGCTAGTTCTGGCCAAAACAGTCCTTATTCAAAAATATGAAATTATTTTTTCTCTTTTATTTTCAAATATGTATTTTTGGCAAGTACAAATAATCTATACATAAATTTACACAGATCTTTCACCGCGAGCTAGTAATTTGTTTTCGACGATTCTGAGAAAATACACTTTTTTGAGTTAACACACTATTTATTATATCAACAGAGCGATATAATCTTGAATTTCACATATTTTGAGTTACAACATTATTGTAATAGTCTGAAAGTATTTTGTATTATGTAAACAACTGTGGATATCAATTAATTTCTATAAAATATGAAATATAAGAATGAAACTACTTTTCCGGATTTAAATCGCGTATATTTGTTTATTCAAACAAACCAACGTTTCGGGCCCTTTACAGGTCCCTTGGTCACGGTTGACTGAAGTGGTACAGTCATCAACCAGTTATGTCTAATAATAATGCAAACCACCCTATTTTTTCACTATAGTTACAAAAGTTATTAATTAAATACCTTATTTTTAATTTTACAAAGAAACATTCCAATTTACGCTACATTGTTTAAGAAATAATTTTATTGTAACAATATGAATTTTTATTAAGTTAAATTTATTATTAATTAATAATGGTAATTATAATAAATTAAAATAAATTAATTTATTATTAACTAAATAATTTTGTGTAACAATTGCGAAAACCTAAGAACTCGATATATAAAAAGTTAGTTTTTTCTTTTGTAATATTATTAAAATATTGATCATGATAAAATTATTTTCTGAACTTTGACAAATATGCGTGCCGATAGACGACATTGTGTGTTATTAACATTGACTTACAAATAAATGGACGACGGGTCTAATACAAAAACCACGAAAAAAATGTCCCAAGTCAACCTATTTAAACGTAATGACATGTAAAGGAATATGAAAAAGCTAAAACGTTGAATTTTAATTTTAATGTCATCGCAGTACTGTCTAATTTTGCTTGCTTCGCTGTCAATCGAACAAACGAAGACTAAAGCATGAATGACGCTCTGTATACGATTTTAACGCCCTATAAGTTCGGACACTTTTTAGCGCGGACCCCACGTCCATATAATTGTAAGTCAATGGTTACAATCTAATTTATAAATTAACGCTCCCTTATATGGGTAAGGAAAATAACCCTCTATAGACTTTTCAGAGGATTACGAAATATTTTTGCAGTATGTATAAAGCCTATTTAATTTCCTTTTTTTGAATACAATTTTATTTCTATGCTAACAGATGAAACAAGATTTCGTTTTTGTTAGCAAATTCAATGCAAACCCTTTATTTTCTTTATTATACAAAGGTTATAATGATGCTAAAAAACTGGAATATGAATCGCTCTAGTCAACCTTGTTACATACAAAGAAATCTTAAACGTTGATGTATAATACATTAGATTCAATTTCAAACATTCTGTAACAACTTGAGTGGTTGAGTCTCGTAATACAAATGAGTACAAATCAAAGAGCAAAGGTCTTACCTCCACAAGTCTCTCGAAAATCGGGACAGCAATCTCCCAGCTTCAAGCAAGCGTGGTCACAGTAACATGGCTTGTCTTCTATGATCGCGTTTTGATGCGCTTTCTGCACCACGCAGGAACTATCTCGTCCGGGACAACATAAGTTCGCGTCTCTGCAGTAATTCGCATCACAGTACCCCGCCAGGCACAGCGCACTCGCAAAACACAACCAATAGCGCAGCATTTTTGCAATAACTAAACGTAGTGACGGTTTACTATTCGAAACACAAAAATGATTTTTTT